CTGCTTGCTTGTACCTCCAGTGACCCTGTCAGAGCTCATCAAGGCTGGGCAGGAGAGGGGGGATCTCGTGGGGAGCTTTGTGGGTGCCCTTTGACCGAGAGCCCCCTTGCTGTCGTTGCAGTGTCTCAAGGCTGAAGACATGGCCAATGCTGTCATCTATGTCCTCAGTGCCCCTCCTCATGTGCAGGTAGGCTGGGGCTGGGGGGCTGAGGGCTGCCCTGGCCTGGCTGATCTGCTGCTGGATCAGCTGGGAGCTTAGGGAGCCTGTGCTGGGGATTAGCAGGGATCACGTTTGTTTACACTTGCAGCTCTGGGATGGCACTGCTGGGGCTCTGGGATTGCCCAGGGTGTGGGATTGCTCTGGGATGGCACTGCTGGGGCTCTGGGATTGCCCAGGGTGTGGGATAGCACTGCTCAGGGTGTGGGATTGCTCTGGGATGGCACTGCTGGGGCTCTGGGATTGCCCAGGGTGTGGGATTGCTCTGGGATGGCACTGCTGGGGCTCTGGGATTGCTCAGGGTGTGGGATTGCTCTGGGATGGGCTCTTCACATCCCTGTGGATCCAGCAAAGGCTGAGCTGACTCTGATTCTTCCCGCAGAGGGTGCTGGGGCACTGCCCAGGCTCCCCAGGGAATGGGCACATTCCCAAGGCTGCCACAGCTCCAGGAGTGTTTGGACAACCCTCTCAGGGTGGGATTTTGGGGTGTCTGTGCAGTGCCAGGAGCTGGACTGGATGATCATTGTGGGTCCTTTCCAGCTTGGGATAGTCTGTGCTTCCCAGAAAAGGACTGTGCAGGGCAGGGGGGTGTGAGGGATAGGGGCACACTCTGCCCTTCTGGATGGTGCCACCTGAGATCTGCTGAGAGTCTTGGCTTCTGCCAGCTGCCAAATGATGTGTTGGACCTGCTCCCCGCAGTGTGGGCTGCCAGAGGGCCTCTCCTCCTGAGAATCCAGGAATGCTTGGCCAGCTCTGGGCTGGAGGAGGAGCAGAGCTCCTGTTGGGAGAGCAGACTTTGGTCAGAGAGCTTCCTCAGTGTCTCGGGTGGACTCTGCTCCCTGGAGCAGGACGTGTCCCCTGACACTGCATCCCTGGGGATAACTGGCTTTTTTTTTGCTTAAAAAGATCAAAACCCTGCCTGTGGCAGCTCTGTGAGCTGGACCAAGCTGCAGCCTTGAGCCCTGGGGTTGTAAGCAGCTTCATCTGCACCTTTCCTGTGTTTATCTGAGCTTTTGCTGCCTGCTGAAGGCAGAGATGCCTTCAGCTCTGCTTTCCTCCCAGCTCAGGCAATCATCCCTGGCCACAGGCTGGTGCAGCAGAGGAGTGCCCAGTGCAGGGCTCCAGTGCAGGGCTCCAGTGCAGCATTCCAGTACAGAATTCCTGTTCCATTCCCTGCTGGTCTCTTGCAGATTGGGGATATACAGATGAGGCCCACGGAGCAGATCTCCTAGCAGGGCAGGGAGGATGAGGAGGACCACGAGCAGCACCGTGCCCACTCCACCTGGAGCCCTCTGGCAGCCCAGGCTTCCCTCAGCTGGCTGGCAACGTTTTAATCAAGTACCAAGGATCACGTTTGAAGAATTATTTTTCTCTCCCTCTCTCTGAGCTGGTGCTGGTGCTGAGCCAGTTTGAAAAAAAAAAAGAAAAAAAAAAAGAACCACAAACTCGTAGTGGGTCTCTTTCTCCCCCACTCCTTTCTGAAACTGCTTACGAGTAAAAATGTATTTGAAAATAATGCAGGGAAGTGGTTCGTGGAAGATTGTTTGTCTCCAGGCTGGTTTATTCTTCATTTTGCTTTCTTTTCAAGGTTTGTTTGATCTGAGTTGCTGATGCTGTGTGTGGAACTAGGTGAAGTGGCACAAGATGTTTGCCAGCTTCAGTGTGCTTAGGGTTTGAGGTTTTCAGTGGATGTCCTACATGAATCCATCCAATACTCTGAGTTTATTTCATCAGGTTGGTTACTGATGGTGGTGATGCATGTGATATTTTCCAGTTCTTTTGTACTCCACTGCCCTAACCCCAGTGTACAACCTCCCCCAGCCCTCCCTTCCCCTTTACATAACTCATGCCTGCCAAGTTTGAGGAAGTATAAATGTGTGTGCTTGATATTTCTCTTTTTTTCTAGGTAGGTAAATAGTTGGAGGAAGAGCACCTGTCCCTGTGCAGGTTAGGATGATAATCTAAGTGACATAGTTACAGTAAGAGTGAGTTGTTTGGTATTTTTAATAAAAACTAAACGTGTGCTGTCTTGTGACCACCTCTATCCTCGGTATCATCTCCCAGCACTCTCGATGTTCTGTGTGTGATGTTTGCATGCATTGACACTTTTCTGGAAACGTGGATTGCTCTGCTGCTGTTGCAGTGCTGGTGCTGAGGAGCTGGAAATGGTGGAAGTTTATTTTTATGTAGAGACACAAACTCTGAGAGAGAGAGAGAGAGAGAGAGAGAGAGAGATGGAGTGGAACGAGCCGTGCCGAAGGTGTCCAGAACAAGGAGAGAGATTTGCAGGGGCATTTTGGCCACAGAAAGCAGCAGGTGAAGGGTCTGGCTGAGATCTCGTGTTGGTGCAGCCCCAGTGTTTGGCTCTGGGTTTACTCTGAGTTCAGGGAGAGGAGAATTGGCCCTGAAGCAGAGCTGGAGTTGTCTGGAGACCCTCTGCAGGGAGGTCTGTGTGTGTCCAGCTCTCCGTGGAGCTCTTGGACACGTTGCCTTAAGGCTGCAGACCCTGTCCAGCTCCTGCTGGGCTCCAGAAGGTCAGGGATGGTCAGTGGGTCGGAGCAGAGGATGGAGAGCCTGGGAAACTGGGGTTGGATTGTTTGGCTTACACCAGGAGAGCCCTGGGAGTTCATCTGTGTCAGCCCTGCACAAGGGAGACCAGAGCTGGGCCACCAAGACACGAGTTCAGCTCCCTGCACAGCCTTGGGCAAGTCACTTTACCTCTCTGCCTCAGTTTCCCCATCTGGAAAATGGGGATATAACACTCACCTACCTCACAGGGGTGTTGTGAGGACTCACAAGCTTTTGTAAAGCACTTTGACAGGCGCTGTGTAAGTGCTGAGTGTTGAAATTGAAGTATTATTATGAATTAAACCTTGTGATACCTAGAATTCCTTGTGCCAAAGGGGAGCAGCTGTAGGAGGATACAAGGAGAAAACTGGCAAAATGCTCCTTTCATGATGGCAAAAACAAAAGGCAATTTGCCCCTTTTTTTCCTCTTTATTAACACATGGTGTGTTCTGTCCATTCCTCACCTGTTTCTACTGACAAGTGCACCTGGATTTGGCTTTTTAGTTTGTTGTGAGTGAAATCCCTGCCCCTTGGGAAGCCTTGCTCCAGGATGCCAGGGTGGTGCCTTTGTGTGGATTCCCAGCAGGTGCCCCGGGCAGTGTCTGCCATCCTTAGAAGGTGTTTGAACTACTAAAGAGGCCAAAAAAAAAAGAAAAAAAATTGAGAAATTAGGAACTTCTGAGCAGAAAAAAACCGAGCAGGGATGTGGGCAGCAGTGGTGAAACATGGAATTGTGGCAGTGCAAAGTTCAGCAGATGTTGAAATGCGTGGCTGAGGAGGGCCTTTACATCTCCCTGTGCTGTAAAAGGAGGATTTGCAGAGAATTGCTTAAGATGCAGAACCTTGACAAAGGGTTTGTCCGGGGAGTTGCTCCCTGCAAATACAACCTGGCAGCCCTGCAGCCCTGGAAGTTGGTTTATTTTTTTTCCCCAAGAACATTTGTATGTCTCTAAAGTGACCTCGAGATGACGTGCAGTATATTTTTCCATTTGAAGTGTGGTTTTAGGGGGTCATCCCTGCTGCCTGTTAACCTCCCCCAGAAGGAGGGCTCCTCGGGTGGCCTTGGTGGCACCTCCTGCCACCCTCCTGGGATGACACGGGACCCCACTCCGAGGCAGTGAAACCCCTCAAACGCCAGGGTCAGTGAACTGTGTAATTTATCAGTAGCTTTCTATTGTGAACTGTAAAATAAAGAATAAAAAGAGAGGCACACTGTGGCTCGCCTGTGGTGCGTTTTGTTATTTTCGTGTTAAAACTGAACACCTTTTTTGGCTGTTCACAGCCAAAGTTTTGTTTGGGGAATGACCCAAACAGAATCCTTCCCTTTGGGGTCTTTATGAGGAAAAACAGAGTTTCTTTCCAGAGCTGGACAGCATCCAGTTGTCTCAGGGGTAACGTGTGGAGGTCTGGGGTAACCTGTGGAGGTCTGTCCGGGGACAGCTCTGGGGTGCTCCGTTCCCGGGGGTCTGTCCAGGAACCTGGGGTTCCCCATTCCTGGTATCTGGGTCTGTCCGGGGCTCTGGGATGCTCCGCTCCCGGGATGTTCCCGGTACCCGGGGTCACCGGGGTTCCCCATTCCCGGGATCTGTCCGGGGCTGTGGGATGTTCTGTTCCCGTTCCCGGGGCTCTGTCCGGGGTCCCTGGGGTTCCCCATTCCCGGGGTCTGTCCGGGGTCACTGGGGTTCCCCTTTCCCGTTCCCGGGATCTGTCCGGGAGCTCTGGGATGCTCCATTCCCTGGCTATTCCCGGTACCCGGGGTCACTGGGGTTCCCCATTCCCGGGGTCTGTCCGGGACTGTGGGATGCTCCGTTTCCGGGCTGTTCCCGGTACCCGGGGTCTCTGGGGTTCTCTATTTCCGTTCCCGGGGGTCTGTCCGGGGTCACTGGGGTTCCCCGTTCCCGGGGTCTGTCCGGGGTCACTGGGGCTCTCTATTCCCGTTCCCGGGGTCTGTCCGGGGTCACTGGGGCTCTCTATTCCCGTTCCCGGGGTCTGTCCGGGGTCACTGGGGCTCTCTATTCCCGTTCCCGGGGTCTGTCCGGGGTCACTGGGGCTCTCTATTCCCGTTCCCGGGGTCTGTCCGGGGTCACTGGGGCTCTCTATTCCCGTTCCCGGGGTCTGTCCGGGCCTCTGTGCTGCTCCGCTCCCGTTCCCGGTATCCCCGCCCGCCGCCAGGGGGCGCTGCCGCGCGGGGCGTGCCGGGGCCGCCGGAACCGGAGCGGGGCCCGCGCGCGCGCCCGCGGCTCCGCGCGCGTGCCCGCGGCTCCGGTGCCCCTCCGGGATCCCCGCCGAGCCCGGGCCGCGCAGCGGGGCTGGGTATTTCCCCACCCAGGGCAGGGACCCCCGGCCATGGAGCGGGCGCTGCTGCCCCGCCTGTGCCAGCGGGCCCTGCGGCTGTGCCGGGGCGGGCTCCGGTTCCGCTCCACCTGCGGGGCTGAGCAAGGAGCGGCCCGCGGCCGCGATCCCCCCGCGTCCCTCCCGCAGAGCCCGGGAGCCGAGCGGGGGTCGCGCGCCGGGCAGGAGCTGTGGCGGGCACAGCAAGACCTGCCCCGGGCCGGCAAGGGGAAGGGGCTGGAGCGAAAGGCGCTGTCCCTGGAGAGGACCAAAGGCTCCGAGATCCTGTTCGGGGTGGCCCCGTGCTGGCTGGCGCTCTCCCGGGCGCGGAGGGCCCTGTTCCGGCTCTTCCTGAAGGAGCCGCGCGGCGGCTCCGGGCGGCCCGTGAGGGCCGAGCTCGCCCTGCAGGCCGCGGCCCGCGGGGTGCCGGTGCTGCACGTCCCGGGCCGGGCGCTGGACGCGCTGTGCCGGGGCCGGCCCCACCAGGGAGTGTGTCTGGAGGCGGCCCCGCTGCCCTTCAGGAGCCTGCGGGACGCTGAGGAGCCGCAGCTGGGGCACGGAGAGAGCGGGGGCCGGCAGCTGCTGTGGCTGGTGCTGGAGCACATCCAGGATCCCATGAACCTGGGGGCCCTGCTGCGCTCCGCGTACTTCCTGGGGGTGGACAGAGTGCTGGCCACCCACAGCAACAGGTACGAGCCACAGGGACAGGGACACGGACGGGCCACAGGGACAGGGACAGGGACGGGCCACAGGGACACGGACAGGCTCCTCCAGCCCCCCTTTTCCTCCCAGACCGGTTTCCAGCCTGCATCACTCAGCTGTTGTTTAGGGAGATTCCTGGGGCTGATCTCTCCAGCAGGGTTTGGGATGGTGCTGCTCGGCAGGCAGGCTGTGGGATGTGGGATTCCAGGCTCTCCATGGATTCTCCTTGTTTAACCCGTTTTGTGTTTCTGTTGTCCCTCCTGTGATCGGTTTCCTGGGTTAATTCCTGAGCCCTCCTGTTCTCCATAGGAAAACACATCCGTGTAGTGAGTGGGATCTAAAAATTCACCTGCATTCCCCCTCGTGTGATACTTTTCCATTCTTCTCCCCTTGCAGCTGCCCCTTGACTCCCATAGTGAGCAAAGCCAGCGCTGGAGCCATGGAGGTCTTCGATGTGTACAGCACAGATGATCTGCAGGGCTTTCTGAAGGTACAGTGAGCCACTTCCATTTTTTTCCTTTTTTTTCAAGAAAACTCAAGCGCTGCAGGGGAGGCACAGGGGGAGCCCTGAGTTATTTGCAGTGTCTGTGCTGGGACACCCCCAGCCCCATTCCATCGGGTAGGGGGAGAGGGTGGCTGTTTTTTCTGGGAGCTGGTGGTACCAGGATAATCCTGCGGCTCTGGGGATGCCGGGGTTTGTCTCCCTTCTCCTTGGGATGTGTGGCAGAGCAGCATCCCGGGGTGCAGGCACACGATGGCAGCATTGGGCTGCCTTTGGAGCAGGGAATAGAGGAGGAACCAGGGCTGGGGGGAGCTGTGGGAATCTTTTCCCTATGCAGGGAGGTGTGAGAGGGAGCCCTTTGCAGGTAAAAATTTGGATGTGAAAAAAAACCAAAAAAACCCTAGACAGCTTAAGTGAAAATGTAAAAAAAAGTGTTTGTATACATGATTTCTTTTTAAGCTTGAGTATTTGGCAATTCTTGCTTTCTTTCCTTTTCTAGGCTAAAAGTGCAGAAGGCTGGGAAGTGGTGGGAACAGCCAGCAGGCCTGAGGATGTGGAAGGTGTTCCTGTCATCAGCTGCTCGGAATTCCGGTGGGACAAACCCCTTATTGTAGTGATAGGTACTGCCACTTCCAGAGCTGTGGGCTGGGTGGGGGATGCTTCACCCCAGGGACTGTTGCAGGTCTGGAAAAGAAAAGCTGAGAGGGAATCATGGAATGGTGTGGCTGTGAACGAAGCAGGGACTGGGAGGAGCAGGGGGAGCTGAGGGGGCTCCCAGCAGGAGCAGTTTGTGGATGCACTCAGAGTTCAGCAGCTGTGGAGGGTCTGGGGGGCAGTTTTGGTGCCAGGGCAGTCACAGGGTGGTGTTTGCTTTGTGTTCTGTGTTTTGGTGTGTGCTGGAGCCCCAGATGTGGATTTTCTGTGGTGGTGAGCCCCAAGCTGAGGGAGAGCCCTGGAGGTGTTTGCTTTTCCTGCACAGAGCTGCACATTTCCCCTTAAAAACCAGGAATGTCTGGTCTGGGCAGAACCACCAGGGGCTTTTGCTGGGCATGGTCTGGATGCAAAGCTGGGCTTTGCAGCCAGCCCTGAGAGCAGCCAGGGCACACCTGGGAGAGGGCAGAGCTGCTGCCTGTGGAGCAGGAGCAGAGGAATCTCTTCCCTCTTGGAGCAGTGCTCTCTGAGCACCTGAACTGGGCAATTCCTGCAGGGAATTCTTGCCCACTCTCTCACCTTTTATGGGCACAGTTTGGGCTTGTGCAGCCTCCCAGAAGGTGAAGGGAAGGGGAGTAGCAGCTTTGTGGCAGCTGGAGAAAGAAATTCCCCCAGGAATGCAGCTCCAGGCACCTGCGTGTGGCCGTGCCATGTCCCCCACTCCATGTCACCTGGCACAGGAGCTGGCTGGAGCTTTTACACTTGGAAGTAGAGTCCTGCTGGCCACGAGCCAGGGAGGGGCTGTAATCCTGCCCCGTGCTGGGGCTGGCTTGGCTCGGAGGATATTCCTTTAATTAAAATGTTTATTGAACTCCTGGAAACACTGACAAGACAACGCTGCAAATCTGGCATCTCTACAAGATGTGTGGAGCTGTATTCCAGGGGGAGCAGGGAGGCTGGCAGCTCTGCTGATTGCCCACAAAGAAATGCATCCCACAAACGGCGACAGCACCCGGAGAGAGGCAGGGGCTGGAAGCGGCAGCAGCGTCGTTACCTTGAGTTATGAGAGATTTCTCCAGGAAAAAGTCCAAATATCCTTTTGTCAGGGGAGATTGGAGGCTGATTGGTAGATGCATGAGGAGAGCTCCCGGACCTTGCAGCAGTAATGATTTCAACTCTCTGCTGAGCACTAACTCTTGGCTGAAAAGAAAATTGAACATTACGGTCGTCTGATGCTGGGCTTGTTGGGAGAAACGTCCTGGATGTGAATATGGAGCATTCCTGCAGCTGCAGGGAGCAGCAGAGATAATTCAGCCTGGGATTGAGCTCCCTGGCACCACACAGATTGTCTTGTAAGTTGAGCATTTGCAGGCTCCAGTTCCCCCTCCTGGCATCCTCGCTGGCTTGGCAGAGAGTGATTTGGACAGTCCAGCTTAATGTTGTCTGCACTGGAGTCATTGCTGGAGGCGACAGACAGCTCAGACTGGGAGCCTGGTGCACACAGGAGCAGATTGGGAGCACTTAGATGGCTGAGTAAGAAGAGTTTCTGGGTAATTTGTTCTTAGACCTTCAGTCTTTAGCTTGGGGTTTAAGGCTCTTCACAGAGCTGGTGGTTTTATGGAGATGCTCCTTTTTGCATGTTTTTCTGCTGCTGGATCTGAATTTCCCGCACTGGAAGCTGCAGTTGTGAGTGGTGTTAATTGTAAATGGGGCAGGAAATGTGTTTTGTCATTTCTCCAAGCTCTGGTCTTTGAGCTCTGTCAGTGAGGGACGAAGCTGAGAGGTGGAAGTTAAAGATCTGAAGTGGGAAGTGTTTTGTTCACCAGTCTAAACGAGGATTTAATCTGATTCAGTCAATACTCCCTCCCTTGTGTCACACAGTGCAAGTCTTTTTGCCCTGAATTTATTGTTCCTAATTATTTTAAGCAGCCAGGGCTTAGACCTTAAGGCTCTTCACAGAGCTGGTGGTTTTATGGAGATGCTCCTTTTTGCATGTTTTTCTGCTGCTGGATCTGAATTTCCCGCACTGGAAGCTGCAGTTGTGAGTGGTGTTAATTGTAAATGGGGCAGGAAATGTGTTTTGTCATTTCTCCAAGCTCTGGTCTTTGAGCTCTGTCAGTGAGGGACGAAGCTGAGAGGTGGAAGTTAAAGATCTGAAGTGGGAAGTGTTTTGTTCACCAGTCTAAACGAGGATTTAATCTGATTCAGTCAATACTCCCTCCCTTGTGTCACACAGTGCAAGTCTTTTTGCCCTGAATTTATTGTTCCTAATTATTTTAAGCAGCCAGGGCCATAAAAAGCTTTGTAAAAGCTGGAGGCAAAATTGGTGCCTTTATTGGGAATTGTAAGACCCTTATCAGGGGCAGGAGAGGATTTCTCCAGGAGCCATTGCTGCTGTCCCAGCTGGAGAGCCCTGTGGGAGTGTGGTTTGAGAGGCTCAGGAGGCAAATAGCACTGCAAGGTGTAAAACCTTTCCAGGACACTATTTCTGGGTTTTCTGTGCATCCTTGCAGTAGTGGTGAGCACACAGGCAGGGCCATGGGAGCCTGGCTTTGATTGCTGGTGTCACTCTGTGACCTGGGATAACTCCCCCAGGCCTGTGTGCACTGCTGGCTTGCAGCAGGAGGCAAAGATTGGTCAGGATGGGGCTTCTGAAGGCTCACTGACCCCAGCCCAAGGGCTTTTGCCATGACTGATTTCATCTGGGAAGGTGATGCAGGATGCATTACCCAAAGCATCCTCTTCCTTACCCAAAGTGCAGCCCAGTAAAACATGAGGGGAAAAAAAACCCCACCTGGGAATGATGGCACTTGCCATCCCTGTGTGGTCAGAGGGATCAGGGTGCCCTGGCAGTGCCATCCCACACTGGTGTGGGGCTCAGCCAGGTCAGGGCATGGCTGTTGGAGGGGTGCCACATGCTGGGCCTGTTTGCCAGAGGTGTTTGGGATGAGCTGGCCATCCTTGCAGCCCTGGAGCTGCCTGTGCTGCTCCAAATAACAAGAATAAAGACTTCTTTGGGGAGCCAGGCGGGCTGGGAGGTCCAGGGCCCTCTGCATTTTCACCTGTCTGCACACAGCATTGTTTAAAGCCTCTCCCTTTCCATTTCCCTTTGTGACAGCGTGAGTCAAACAACTACTAATGACCTGGGATAGATTTCAACTCTGTTTCACCAGTGTATCAGCCCAAACATATCAGGGCTGCTGCCTGCTTTAACAACTAATCAATTGAAGCCTCTGGTTGAACTGTCTGCATGCACAAGTTGCACCCAGCCAGTGGAGGGGGTGTGTGTGTGCTGGGAAGGCTGGAGCTGTCACTGGCAGCAGGGATGTGGGGTTTGCTGGAGCAGAGCTGGCTGTGGCCCCTTGCCTGCCTTGTCCCCGTGCCAGCAGCCTGTGCCCACGGGGAGCTCTCTGCTGGCACAGTGGCTGCTCCCCGTGGGATCTCTGTGCAGCTCTGTGTTGCATGGATATTCCTCAAACCCACTTCAGATGCTGGGGAGCAGATCCAGGGAGGGATGGGAGGAAGGTGCCATGCTCCCCTCGGGGGCTCAGTTGCTGTGAGGTGGCTGAGCTTAGGGAGAGAGTGTCACAGAGACAGAGCAGGAACAACTGCACTGAGGAGGGGGAAAGGCAGTGCTGGGAGCTGAGCTGAGCAGTGTCTCTGTCCTGCAGGCAGTGAAGGGGAGGGCCTTTCCCTGGAGACTCAGCTGCAGTGCCAGCAGATGTTGGCCATCCCCCCTGGCAGGGCGCTGCACCCCGGCATCGACTCCCTCAACGTCTCTGTGGCTGCAGGTGAGAGCAGTTCTGTGCACCAGGCACCAAACCCCAGCTTCTGCATTTAACAATCAAACATCCAGGCCCACTGAACGATTTTCTTGTGGTTTGGAAAAAGATAAAATCCCTTACTATTTATTTATTTTTGCTTTCCTACAGGTATCCTCCTGCACTCCATCTGCAGCCAGAAACGGAGGCATGAAGATTGAAATCCTCTTGATGTGGTGGAGGAAGCTGCTCAGTGTGGATATGGAAATGCTCTTCCCAGGGTCTCCACCATCACTGAGAGTTCCAGGGAGAGCCCCAGAGACCTGAGCTGCATTTTAGCTGCTGCAGAAGCCACCACATCCCTGGCTTAACACCAAAGGCAGACACATGATGTCGTGGGTAACACTGGGAGGAGCAGCTGTGGGAAGGCAGGCAGGTCTGGGAGCAGTTTGGGCAGGAAAACACCCAAGGATGGCTGCCAGCACTTGTGCACTGGGGACTTTGTGCATCACTTGAACTGTGGGGACAGTTTGGGCTGTGGGTGAAAGTGCCACTGAAAGTGCCTTGTGCCCTCCCCCTGGGCAGCAGCTGCTGAGTGCCAGCTGTGCCTGGGAACCACTGGAGCTGGTTTTTCTGTATTTGGTTACAAACCAGGTGTGCAGCCCTGCCAAGGGCTGGCAAACATCTGGAGTGGGGGGGAAAATGGAGCCCGTGGAAATAAAGCTTTTGTAAAGATTGGTTGTAGACTCAAATTTATCCATTTTGTGTCATATAAATCCAGAGTGTGATTAGTCCTTCAGGTGGGAGGAGGGATCTAGAGCTGGTTTCCTTCTGGGGAAGTTTCCTTTCCAAGCTGGGCTGTTCCTGCTGTAGGCTGAGGTGCCCCAGGACCACTGTCCTGCTGGTGGCACTGGGGTGGCTTCATTTGCAGCTATCCTGCTTGAAAAACCAGGCTGGCTAAATTATTGAGAGCCAAAAGAATGTTATCACTTAGCACCTTAATTATTTTATTTAGCTACCGTGGCCCTTTGCATAGGATTCCTCATTAACACTTAATTTACAGTGCCCTTTAGGGATAATTTCAAACAATTCCGTTCAGTCTGCCCCCTCCCCACTTCCAAACGAATAAGTAAATCACTCTGAGTGACTAATTAGGACTTTCCTTTGAGCTAAATGAAGTCTGTAAGCCCTGGTCCGTGGGTGTGTTCCCTGTGTGTCCCTGGGAGGGTCTGGCTGGTGACACTGGGGACACTCCAGGTGCCTGGGATGGGGGACAGGGCATGGAGCTCCTGAAAGGTGTCCAGGGCTCCCTTCTGCGGCTGTGGTGGAGAGCAGGGTGCCTGGGGTGGGGACACATCCCCTGAGCTCTGTCCTGAGGAAGAGGACAAATCCCAAATCCCTCTGAAGTGACACCATCGTACAAACAGGGCTGTGTGACCCAAATCCACAGGGAGCTGGAGAACCCTGAGCTGTGCCTTGGAGGCTGAGTGCATTTTGGGGGCTGAATCTGCCCTTTTTTCTGGTTTAAAGCAGAGAGGAAAAGGCTGCAGGCCCAGAGGCTGTCCTGTGGAGCTGCTCAGCAGCCGAGGGTGCCCCAGCAGAGGGTGCCCGTGGCTCAGATTTGTTCATTTTCCAGAGGAAAGATTCCAGGATTCAACACTTGGCTAACTGAATCCTTCCTCTGGAGCAGCAGGGATCAGGGTAAAGCCATTTCTTCATCCTTCACCTACAGCTGAGTACATTTATTTCCCATCTCATAGGAACTGCTGTTTCTCCCTTTTTGTTTCTATTTTTTTTAAGTTGGTCTCAGCACTGGGGAGGCCCTTCCTGGCTCTGTGTGCCTGGGAAAGCTGGGCTCTGTCAGGCTGTGCTTGGCCATCTGCTCAGCCCCTCTAAGGAGGAGGCAGCTGAGGAGCCCTGCAGCAGCTCCTTTACTGCTGGAAGGCTCCCAAAAAGCTTTGGAACTTTTGGGAGTGGGAGGAGAAGCTCCTGCTTGGCCATCACTCCAGCAGCCATCTCCACTCTGCTGTGAATTCCCCACTCCTGTATCCATGGAGCCCCTTGATTTGGCACTGGAGCATCAGACAAGGCTTTTTGCGAGTTGCTTGAGCTTGAATTTTAGGATTTCAGTGCATAACTCGGGCTGCAGCTCGGACTTTGCTGCTTGTGAGAGCACTGAATCCCACTCTGGATGGCTCTGCTGTTCCCTCTGATCCCACTTCCCTCTGTGGTAAGTTTTAGCCCTTGTTTTTTTCCACTGGGATCACCTGCAGTGAGTTTTGGATGGAGCTGATGCTTTGTCCTCCTGCCCCAGCCCCATCCTGAGGCTCTGAGGAGCATGGGGACCTCTGCACTCTCCCACCTTTGGTGCTGGAGCTTTGTGCTGTGCCATTTGCCCCTGATCTAATAAATGCAATCCATTAATTGGATCATTGCCTGCTTCTCCAGTTAATTTCCTGGATATTTTTAAATGTTAAAATGTAGTTTTTATAGTCTTTCATTATTTTTAGCCTTAAGCTCGACTATAATTGTCCCTGTAATGTAACTGTAAAAAACTCCCAGCTTTATATCATAAAGGGGGACATTAATTGTCATTTTTTGTGTACATCAGCAAGATCAAAACACGTTTCCTGATTACTTCTGTTTGTACATAGAGTCTCTTTGATATTTAGATATGAATAAAGTGTGTGTGTGTAATTTGAAAGTCAATTCTTCCCTCCCTGCTGCTTGTCATGGATTCCTTTCAGAGGCTTATTTACCAAATTGATTTTAAAATTTACTAATTGCCCTTCCAGAATGATTTCTCAATAATCAAAGTGTCTCTAAGCACAGTGGCAAAATATTTGTCCTCCTTGATTCACAAGATGAGTTGGGCGCTGCCTTATCTTCAGCCAGGGGAAAACACCAATCTTCCCATCTCCCAAAATCCACCCCGGGGAGCTCTGGCTGGGAGAGAGGCTCAGCTCCTGCCCCACATTTCCCTCTTGTGCTCAGGGTATCCCCACCACTGCAGAAACCCCATTGCACCCAATCCAGCGACTGGAGAAATCCCATTGCACCCAATCCAACCACTGCAGAAATCCCATTGCACCCCATCCAACAAATGGAGAAATCCCATTGCACCCAATCCAACCACTGCAGAAATCCCATTGCACCCAATCCAACAAATGCAGAAATCCCATTGTACCCAATCCAACCACTGCAACTGCAGAAATCCCATTGCACCCAACCCACTGCTGGCTCCCGGTGATGTTTTGGAGGCTGGAATGGCTCTGGGACAGGGGACACCTTTCCCTCTGCAAAGGCCAGGCTGGTGGCAGGGGAAGGGAGCAGCCTGGGATTGCTGCTGAGGCTGGGAATGCTGCTGGGGCTGGGAATGCTGCAGGAGCTGGGATTGGGAATGCTGCTGGAGCTGGGAATGCTGCTGGGATTGGGAATGGTGCTGGGACTGGGAATGCTGTTGGGACTGGGAATGCTGCTGGAGGTGGAATTGGGATTGCTGCAGGAGCTGGGAATGCTGCTGGGGCTGGGATTGGGGATGCTGCAGGAGCTGGGAATGCTACTGGGATTGGGAATGGTGCTGGGACTGGGAATGCTGCAGGAGCTGGGAACGCTGCTGGGGCTGGGATTGGGAATGCTGCTGGAGCTGGGAAGTCTGCAGGAGCTGGGAATGCTGCAGGAGCTGGGAATGCTGCTGGAGCTGGGAAGTCTGCAGGAGCTGGGAATGCTGCAGGAGCTGGGAATGCTGCCCACGGGGCACCTCCGGAACGCACAGCCCCGATCCCGGTTTGTAAATGTAATCAACCTTGAGGTCTTGTTACTTCCACAGGTGCAATTAACATCACCATCTGCTAATCCGTGATTAACGATGTTTACAAATATGCTACAACACGGTGAAATGGGCTGGCACTCTTTGGGGCTTTTTTCCCTTTATATTTTTTCCCTCCCTGCTCCAGCACAGGAGCTGTGCACGGGAGGAATTGCCCCATGGAATGCTCCCCCCACTCCACCAATAATTCACAGGCATTTTGCATTTTCCTTATTTAAAAGTGCTGTTAAAACTCCAAACCAGCTGCAGGAATGACGGGTTCAAATCAGAAGGTCAGTGCTGCTAAATGGGATTTAATTGCACGGGGGTTGAGGTACAAACTGATGAATCTGAATAATAAAACTTTGTGGGGAGCAACATATGGTGCAGTTTAAAGTAAATTTTTATCGATCATCCCACAACTGATATGTTAATGGGATGGCAGCCTTTGCTTTGGGTTTGATATCGACGTGGAGTTTTAATAATGTCACACAGGAATATTGTGGAGGGGTTTATAGTTTAAAATAATAATAAAAAGAGAAAGAGTGTTTTCTATTAACTGCCTTCTTCTTTTCCAGGAGAGAGGAATACATTACAAGGCTGCCGTGTGTCCTCCAGATCTAGGTTACATGTAATTGCTCAGTAATTGGTAGAACCATGTAAAAGCCATGGTATTTGCCAGTAAACCCTCCTAAGTTACCATGAAATTGAAGTGTGATATTTATTCTCTACAAAACTGGCTGCCCAAATGCTGTGTGGGATCTGCTGGCCAGTGCAGAGGAGTTCCTGCAGGAGGGAGGATCCTTTAACCTCCTTGGCCTCAGCCTCAGGGTTATCCCTGAATCTGGAATGGTTTGGGTGGGAAGGGACCTCAGAGATCATCTCATTCCTCCCTGTGCCATGGGCACCTCCCACTGCCCCAGGCTGCTCCAGCCTGGCCTTGGACACTTCCAGGAATCCAGGAGCAGCCACAGCATCTGTGGGCACCTGTGCCAGGCTCACCACCCTCACAGGGGAGGATTTCTTCCCAATATCCCATCTAAATGACAGCTATTAATAATCTAATATATATAGATTAGAAATAATAATAATCTAATAACCCTCTAATTATTACAGCTGTGTCAAGGCCCAGCTCAACATGATGGAAGCCTGAAGTTCTCATGTTTTCAGTGAGCAAGGAGCAGTAATTACACTAATGATGTTTTTTGGAGCCTTTGGAGAT